CCATAGCCGCTTGGTGTTAGTAGGAGGTAGTAGATGGCAGCCATAGCTGCCAGTTAGCATGTTAGCGTGTGTGTACATGTGAAGTGTGTGTGTACATGTGAAGTGTGTGTGTGCGGGACATCCAGGGAGATCCAAGGTGTGTGTGCGAACATGTTGCTGAGAGTACAGAGATCGGCCATAGCCAATCGAGCCATAGCCAATCGAGACAAGTTTGAATCTGAATCGTGTTCTTGGCTTTGTTATCTTTGAGCTCTGTGTGGGCGCAAGTCGCCAGCTTGATCGTCATCTGTATGTATGCATGCTGAGTATCCAAGAAGAGAAGTCTGATTGCACACCCGTACCTGCCTACACCCATTCTATTTTTCTTTTTGGCCTCCCAATCCAGGTTTTGTTTTTTTTCCCCTGCCCCTAACTGCCCCCACCTACCCATGATCTCCATAAGGGCAACTGTGGCCACTCTAACAACAGCCAGTATTACCCAACACCCCTTCGTACCCAGCCCCACCCGTAACCTGGCGGTTACAGTTGGGTATGGTCGGGTTCGGGCAACGGTTAACCGTTTGCCCTCTCTAGTTGAAGCCAATGAGTGCGAGGGAGTATGAACCGAACAGGCCGCGCGCGCCTCTCCATCCAACCCTCTGTTCATGGGTGTCTGTCTAGAAGAGCAGTCGGAAGTCAAATTGTGAACTAAGTGCCACAAGCAGAAATGATGTCAATTGCATAGCCTTCATGACCGATCCGTACATAATTGTGAACTAAGTGCCGCGAGCAGAAATGATGTCAATTGCATAGCCTTCATGACCGATGTACATACCTTGTCTTGTGGTTTACAATGGTCAAAATGCGGTGGTGCCCGAACTTGTTACGAGGGAACCGACCTGTAATAATAAAGACTTGGGGTTGCTCTGGTACTGGCGAGGGTCTAAGCTCACCATGAGTGGTTGCAGGGGTAGATCAGCAACACACTTCACAAGATGGGAAACATTGTGAAAAGCTTCCATCGGTAGGTCAGGCCAATAGAACCTCTCCATGAGGACTATGGTGTAATCAAGATGCCCAGGAGACAGGAATGAAGTCGCTGCCCATGGGGAATACCAAGCTTCTCAGCACAGCAGGAGTGAAGAAGAAGCAAGCTGTTCTGAATTGAAAGATGTGGAACAATGCCAGTCCTGTTGGAAAACCTGATTGTTAGGCTAATCCCATCAATTATGGCATGATCGTAAACAGGGAGGATTATCTGCTTGAAACGGTTTTCACCTTTTGCAGACGCCGATGCAGATCCCAGGGTTCGATCCCTGGACCTTGCCCGCACCCGTGTACAGTATCGAGTAGACCCTGAGTGTTTTGAACCTGCAACCTGTGTTGTAGTAGTGACTGCCCTTTGTCGTAGGTCCTTGTAGTTGTAGGGATTCGATCTGTAGATCTGTCAAGTAGGGGTTACATCTGTGTAGAGGTCGAAACTTCTAGGCTAGAAGTCTGTAGGTAAGTCGTAAGTCCAACTGCGTCAAGTCGGCAGTGCAACCCCAAGCAGTCAGCGGTAACGGTCCCAGTCAATCGCAGTCCAGTCAAGCAAGTACCGTGTGGGACTGTGTGCACCAAGGGCCTGGAGGAAAGGGGCCGACCAGCCACCAACAGAAGTATAAATCAAGAGGCAGCGTCCAACATTTCATTCATTCGCTGCGGAAGCCATGCGGAAGCGCTGTCTCAAGCGTCTTGTGCAAGGTGGTCTGCAGAGTGCCCGAAGTCAAAGTGGGCCAGAAGAAGATAGCGTAGCCATAGTTAGTAGTTGAGCGGCCGTAGCCGCTGTAGATAGGGGAGAGGCGTTAGAGTGTGGGTGTGTAATACAGTGGGTGTGTGTGGGGTATTCAGGGTGATTCAGAGTTGAGTGTGCGAGAACAGAGGTGTTGGAAACAGTAACGAGAGCTGGGATGTACAGGCACTGATGCGCCATAGCCTGTTGAAGCAAGTTTGCGTGTGAACTGTGTTCTCGATTTCCATACCTCTGAGTTTTGAGGGGCGCTGTGCGCCAGTGTGAATCGCCATCTGTTTGCATGTATGTGAAGTGAAGAAGAAAGGGAGTCTGATTGCATGTTGTTTTGGGTGGATAAAAGCTGGTAAGGTAACGGAGTGCCATTAACCTGGTGAACTGTTGCTGTTTCTTGCTTCGGATGTCATGTGCTGCATGTTGTAACCCCGTTAGTACTGCAGACACAAACTTTGAAGAGACGCTGAATACACTCAAGTATGCCAACCGCGCAAGGAATATCCGAAACAAGCCAATCATCAACAGGGATCCGCAAGCAGCGCTGCTTAATAAGATGCGAAAAGAAATTCAGGTGTGTATAGTTCACGCCGCCCAGTATGGATAGTGGATATCTTTTTCGGCTGCTGCAGCTCCCTCATTTGATTCTCCAAGTCACTGTTACTACCCGTTCAGACCCTGAATGACGAACGCAGCATAATGGGGCCCACTCGGCCAGAACTCAATTTGTGAAAAGCAGATCAAAAGACATGTTCTCTGGGTCAAAAGTCACATCCTAACTGAAGTGAGGAGTGGTGTCAAAGGTCACAGTCGTGCCCCAGGACGAACAGTTGCAGCATTCAATTGTGAGAGTCACGTCTGTTCGTCCAGGGGGCTGTGCAAGTCATGTTTGTTTGTGCAGTAGATGTGTCTGTTCGTGCAGAAGTTGTGTCTGTTCGAATGGAAGTCAACGGGGTAGAGTCCCAGTCCAAGTCAAAGTCCAATAGGCAGTCCAGATTCAGACCCGAAGTCCAAAATTCAGGCCAAAAGGCCGCAGCAGCAGCAGACCCTGAGGGAAAGGTACTGGGACACATTCTGCAGTGGTCTGGGACTGGGGAAAGACCAAAGGAAGACTTTTTCAGACCTCGCGAAGGGAGGCCGGCACTATAAGAGACCAGGCCAGTCTCCCCACACGACAGATCTCCACTGGCATTGAAGCGTGGAAGTGCTGAAGCACTTGTGCGCTAGCATGCAGGGATAATGCACTGGCTGGAAGCTGCGCAAGCAGAGGAAGAAGAGTCTGGGCGCTGACTGGCAGAAGCAGCCATAGCTGCGCCAGCATTATTAGTAGAAGTAGAAGGGTTAGTAGTAGACATCAGTGAGTAGCATTCAGAGTAGATCCTCATAAGTAGGGAGTGAGCATGCAGAGTGAGACAAGGGAACCAAGACAGGGATCTCGTGAGGGAGAGAGAGAGAAGACAGGTTAAGGAGTTGGATATGGTGGATACTTACCTGATGGCACCATACCTGTGATCTGAGGGCAGACGCTGGCTGAGCCAGGCCCTATATTGAGAATGGAATGAAAGAGACTTGTACTCTGTTGGCGCTGAACTCTTGGATTCGAGATACTCTTGTATGATGTTGTTGTGATAATATGAGCTGCGCTATGTGGTTCTCATCTCATCTCGGTTTGGCTTCGTGTGAAGTTTCTCTATCTGTATGATGACATTGATGCATCCAATGAGATACACTCCAGCAAGCTATGAACAGTCAGGTTCTGACATGAGTTCTTTCAAAAGGAAATGGAACGAAGAAAAACGACAGGGAGAACAACAGCTGAAAGAGCCCCATTGTGCACCACAATTTTCTGTAAAAATCTAGTGTGGACCTGGCTGCAGCTCCTTTTGTGGCTGAACCAGAGAAGCCTGCGACCCGTTTCCAATGCCTGGGAAAGTATGTCCGTCAGGGATGTCTGTTCTTACTTGTCTGCACTGTTGTCCTTTGGAATGCATTTCTTTAGTGAGAATCTGGTTGGGGGATTCTTGAAGACTTGTTGGCTGGTGACTGTAGACAGCAGAACTTTCTGGTTGGTCTTCGTTTTGCCGACTGTTTAGCGGCAGTGCAGCTCCTGGGCATCCATGTGCCTGTGTGTGTGATCCTGACTTGTACAGACAGACGAATCTTTGCTGCAATGCTGTACATATGCATCGTCTGTTATGAATCTTGGGTAGGAGTCCAAGATTCACTTGTGCATGGCCTCTTTGACTGTACAGATGAATCTGTGCTGTGGTAGGATGAACCTGGTGTAATTCAGCAATGATGTGGAAATTCTAAGTGCAAGGAAAATAAGCAACAGCGAGATGACAAATTCCAGATTACATCATCACATTGAAAGCCAGATAGTCACACTGTGTCCAGAGAGCAGCATTGCGCCAATAATACACCAATGGAGGTTCGTAGTACTGAAAACCAATGTCAAGGAGAGCATCTCTCTCCGCCACAACACAAGAGTCCAGTCCCTTCACACTCCTACTTGGCGCTCAGCTCCCAGCCTACTCCTACACAACTACAATCAGCCTACTAATAGACAATGCAACTGTTGACATCAGCGGCAATCCGAAGTACTTGAAGATGTCGCCCAAATGCAGACCATCGCCAATACAAGGTATGTGCCCTCATATCATCATCATCATCATCATTGAAACAGTTTTCACCTTTGGCAGTAGCCGATGCAGATCCCAGGGGTCGATCCCTTGACCTCAGCTTACCTGTGTACAGTATCTGCACAGTTCCCTGGAGTTGAACCVGTGACCTGCACGATAGCCAGTGGTAAGTAGGTCGCCGTAGGTTGTAGGCGGTAGGGAGATTCGAACTGTAGACCTATAAGGTAGGAGTCCAAGTAGAGTCCAGAGGCCTAGCCTTAGTCCTTCTAGAAGGTCGGCAAGTGGTCAAGTGGTGAGTCTAAAGTAGGCCCACGTTTTCAGACGAAGACAAGTGGCAAGGTCAACAGGTAGGACCTCAGTGCAACTGCACTGAGTCGACGGTAC